TGAGGGCGGCGTCGGGTCAGGAGACAGAGGAGGGGACACAGGAGGGGAACGAGGGGGAAGACGAGCCGGGGACGAGTCTGGCAGAGGGAACACGGGGCCGTAGACGGGAAGAGGGGGAGACGGCAGGAGAGGAACAGGCGCAGGGTCAGGAGACGGAAGGCCGAGCAGACGGAGGGCGGACACAGGCGGGGACTGCTGCTGCGGCGACACAACACCAACACCAGGGCCACAAGCTGCGCGACGGCTACCTCCCGAACCCTCCACACCTGCACCCCCAGAAGGGACACCCCCAGAGTCCACAAACGGCGGCAGCGACGACGGCGGCGGCGGCGGCGGCGGCTGCAGCGACGGCGGCGACGGCGGCGGCGGCGGAGACGACGGCTGCAACGGCGGCGGCGGTGGAGACGACGGCTGCAGCAGCTGCGGCGACGGCGGCTGCGGAGGCGGTGGAGGAGGAGACACCGGGGGAGGGACAGACGGCGAGGACTGCGCCGGAGGACTACCAGAGTCAGAAGACTCGTCGACCGGGACGACCGACGGGAGGGGGGTGACGTGAGACACACCAGAGGGGGCCGGACGGGGGGCGGGGGGGGGGGAGGGGCAGGGACCACCAGGGAGGGAGGAACCAGGAAAAGGGGGGGAGTAACCGGGGGACCACGGTGGGGAAAGCGGCGGTAGAAGGAGACGGACTCGTCAAAGGTGACGTCGCGAGAGTGAAAGAAGCGGTGAGACGGCGGGTGGTAGAAGTGCCAGTCGGACGCGTCAAGGGGGAAACCGAGGAAGACGCAGGGGAGGGTGCGGGCAGTGAGCTTGTCCGTGCCAGAGGCACGAACGTGAGCAAGGCAGCCCCAGACGCGGAACGCAGACGCGTCACCAGGGGACCCGGTCCACAGAAGGGTCGGCGAAACCTGCGGCCGCTGGGGGTGCGGCCACAGGTTAAGCTGGTGAGCGGCGTAGCGCACGGCGAACGGCCACAGAAAATGGGGTGCACCGGCGTGGATCATGGAGGTGCGAGCCACCTCCATGACCAAACCGATGCGTCGCTCAGCGACCCCATTCTGCTGCGGGGAGTCCGGCAGGGTAAACGTCTGGGTGATGCCCTCCGCACGACAGAAGCGACCAAGGACACCTGAGGCAAACTCGCCACCCCGGTCGGAGTGAAGGCGCAAGGCAGGGAGACCGCGGTGGACACGAGCTGAGACAAGCCAGGGGATGAGAACGTCAGGCACGTCGGCCTTCCGCTCCAGGGGGAAGACGGTGGTGTAGCGCGTGAAGTCGTCGACAAGCACTAGGAAGAAGCGCTCGCGACGCGGCCCATGGACCGGGGCTGGGCCCCAGACGTCCATGTGCAGAGTCTGCAGTGGTGCGGTGGTAGGGGGAAAAGAGGAGGAGTGAGGGGCACGGCGGAGCCGGCCCTCGACACAAGGCGTGCACGGTGGGGCGGGGGAGGAGGGAAACTCGGGGAACGAACCGGGGAGACCAAGGACGAGACCGTGCTGGGACATGTGACGCAGACGTGGGAGTGCAGGGTGACCAAGGCGGTGGTGCCAAAGGAGAGTCGGGTGAGTGAGGGACCGACAGGAGCACGCGGCTGCAACCTGGGTGGACGCAGCTACCGGGGGGGAAGACCCAGCCGGGGACGGCGCGGTGTCAAGTGTGAACAGGCCGGACACCGGGTCCCGGGGGAAAGTGGTAAGGGGGGCACCAGTGGCGGCCTCGGTACAGACAGCATACCGCTCGTGACCAGGGAACGTAGTGGTGACGCCAAGGTCCTGGAGGCAGCCGACACCAACTAGGTTCCTGGAGAACGAGGGGATATGCAGACCTGTGAGAGTGCCCGAAGGAACCGCCGGACAGGGAAGGGAGGTGGAACTGCGGGCAACGACGGGACCACCGGAGGGGTCAGCAAGAGTAACTGCAGCGGGAACAGGCAGCGGCGTCAGCGTCGTGGAGTCGCGGAAGAAACACCGGGAGGCGCCAGAGTCCAAGGTGAAGGAAAGCGCAGCAGTCGCGCGAGGCAGCAGTGAAGCGGTGGAAGCACCAAGGCTAAGCAAAGCAGGAGATCCTACGCCTGACGCAGCAGGGGAGTCTACGCTAGGCACCGCTACACTAGGCAACACGGGGTAATAAGAGGGAAGCACACTAGAGTCATCAGCATACATCACATGCAAGGCCGCGACAATGGCATCCATGTCCAAGTCAAAAATCCTAATGCTACGCCTAAGCAAGCTGTGCCAGTCCGGGAGGTCGGGCGCCGGGCCAAAGCGCTGGCGGAACAGGTCGTCCAGGCGACGAAAACAGCGAGGAGTAGAATGACCGATCTTACCGCAAACGAAGCCGCGGCGAGGACCGGTCTGGATCTGGTACTGACAGGGCCCGCCTCCAGAACCACCACCCGGTGCACCACCACGCGCACGACCACCACCAGCTCCAGGCCACCCAGGTGGGAGAGTACTCGCCTGCCTCGTCTGCGGCGGCTGCTGCGGCTGCTGCGAAGGCTGCGGCTGCGGCGACTGCTGCTGCTGCGGCTGCTGCAACTGTGGAGGCAGCGGGGCAGCTGGACCGGGCAGGGTCCCCACGTCCGCACCGGCACCGGACGACCCGCCTCCACCACTACCCCCACCCGCACCCCCGCCGCCTCCGCCGCTCCCAACCTTGGGGCGGCGGCCCTTCGCCGAGCGGGACTGCACTGCAGCAGCAGTCTCAGCCACAGCGACAGAGCCGTCGGAGAAGGTACACTGAGCGGGGGCACAACCCTGAAAGATAGGGATCGGTACTGTACCGCTCGCCAGGGCTATGGAGCGGTGACGAGTCTCTATGGCAGTCAGGGTGTCAACAAAGTCGGTGAGGGTGAGAGCAGCAGGGTGGATGCTAAGGAACTGGTCGCGGGCAGCGGCAAGGCGGTCAGGTAGGCGGGTGGCAAGGAGGTAGAGGGTAGAGGTCATGGGAGGCTGGTGGACTCTAAGCTGAGCATCAGTGCAGGCAGCGCGCCAGGCCTCATCTATCGAGCGCAGGTGGGCAGCGAGGTCAGAGACAGTGGGGAAAGACGCCAGGTCAGGAAAGAGCAGGGGAAGGATCAGGCGACCCACTGAGGCAGCAGGAGGGGTAGAATAGCGCTTGATGACAGCATCGAGGTAGGCCTGGGCGGTAGGAATGGTTCTAAAGCGAGGGCGCTCAGTGGGGGGGAGGGCATTGCTAATGGCGAGCTGAGCAAGGGCATCGCGGGAAAGCCAGACAGAGCGGGCAAGGGCAGCAGCGGCAGTGGACTGGCGCTCAGCGGGCGTGGGATCAGCGGGCAGCACAGCAGGGGGTCAGGGCAGGGGAGCATACCGTCTAGGTGTGCAGAAAGCGGGTGGCCGTCCTGCCGCTGGCCAGTGAGGTGGCGGCGAAGGTCAGCCAACCACGCCTCGAACTCCAGAGGCTGACCCTCAACATCAAAACGAAGCTCAGCAGCCATGAGGGGCAGTGGAGGACAGTGCAGTGCGGTGCAGTGCGATGCAGTGCGGTGCAGTGCGGTCCAGTGCGGTGCAGTGCGATGCAGTGCGGTGCAGTGCGGTCCAGTGCGGTGCAGTGCGGTCAGTGCGATCCAGTGAGGTGCAATGCGATGCAAGGCGGGGCAGGAAAGTGCAGGAGGGTGCAAAGTGGTGCGGGGAACGGGGGACAGTACCAGGAAGTATGGAGGGCCGGGGCAGGTGCGTCGGGGCCGGGCAGGCACGACAAGGCCGGGCGGCGGCGACGGGGCTGGGCGGCGGCGACGGGGCCGGGCGGCAGCGACAAGGCCGGGCGGCTGCGACGTGGCCGGGCGGCTGCGACGGGGCCGGGCGGCTGCGACGGGGCCGGGCGGCAGGGACGAGGCCGGGCCGGACACAGCAGGGCCGGGCAGGGGCGACGGGGCCGGGCGGCTGCGACGTGGCCGGGCGGCTGCGACGGGGCCGGGCGGCTGCGACGGGGCCGGGCGGCGGCGACGGGGCCGGGCGGCAGGGACGGGGCCCGGGCAGGCCACAGCAGGGCCGGGCAGGGGCGACGGGGCCGGGCGGGCGAGCAGGGGCCGGGCAGGTGCGACAGGGGCCGGGCAGCCGCGACAGGGGCCGGGCGGGCGCCACGCGGCCGATAGGCCGCGACGGGGCCGAGCAGGGGCGACGGGGCCGAGCAGGGGCGACGGGGATGGGTAGGGGCGCGACGGGGCCTGGAGGGGCGTTACCAAGCCCAGGTAGGGGCGCGACGGGGCCTGGGGGGAGCGCAATGGGGCCCGGGAGGGGCGCTACGGGGCCTGGGAGGAGCGCGACTGGGCTAGGGAGGGGCGCGACGGGGCCTGGAAGGAGCACAATGGGGCCCAGGAGGGGCGCTACGGGGCCTGGGAGGAGCGCGACGGGGCCCTGGAGGGGCGCTACCAGGCCCTGGAAGGGGCGCGACGGGGCCTGGAGGGGCGCTACGAAGCCCTGAAAGGGGCGCGACGGGGCCTGGAGGGGCGCTACGAAGCCCTGGAAGGGGCGCGACGGGGCCTGGGAGGAGCGCAATGGGGCCCAGGAGGGGCGCTACGAGGCCTGGGAGGAGCGCGACGGGGCCCAGAAAGGGGCGCAACGGGGCCCAGGAAGGGGCGCGACGGGGCTAGGGAGGGTCGCGACGGGGCTAGGGAGGGTCGCGACGGGGCTAGGAGCACGACGGGGCCCAGCTAGGGGGCGAGCGGAAGCGTGAGGGGGGGGGGGGGGGGATCCTACCTACGCGTGATACCATATCAAACAGTGAAATTGATGAATAGAGAGAGAGAGTACACAAACATTTACCTAACTGTTGTATTCTCTAGAAGATGACCCTATACAGTCTATACAAGCATGATAACTAAACATGTTTGACAATTCGTTCTCACTTTGACATAATCAGGGTGAAATACCCTTGAATTGCTGACCCCGGGGGGGACTCTCGCTGTACTGGGTTTCAGAGCCCCACCCTATTGCTCCGCTGACACAACAGCATACACTCCTGCAAAAACTCTGAAAAAATACTTCGACCTTTCAAGATAACGTGTTAAATCGGCGTCACCCTATTCCCAAACCATGAAAAAGGGCTGAATCAGCGTAAAAGCCTGATGTCTAGGGGCCTATACAGGCTCTAATTACATTAGGTCCTACTTCAGTGTAGATCCTACAATGTAGGAATACACCCTAAGTGGTTCTGTAAATTTCTTATGCCATACGCTTGTTCTGCAACCCAAAAAGTGCCTTGTCACCCTAACGAATGCTACTGCAATGATGGCCACGTGATGGGAGGAGCAGGTTGGTCGTAGAAGCTAAGAGCATTAATAATGTGCAGGAGGGAGGGGAGGGACTCAGTAACGGGGACAGATGGGAGGTTGGCCAGGACAGGGCAGTCATAGTCGATGGAGGGCACAAGCCAGGGGGACAGAGCAGCTATAAAGGAGTCCAGGTGTGGGGATAAGATGCCCTCCCAATCCGCCTGGATTCAAAACAGAGTGGAAGAGGCAGGGGAGAGAGTGAAGGCATGAGAAAGGGTGATTGCAAGAGGGTGTGAGGTAGTTGGTACGTGGAGTGAGACACCCAAGATCAAGGGCTGGGGTTGGACATGTGATAAGTAAAAAACAGGGCTAAGGAAGGAAAGGGGAGATAATGACAGGTCAACAGGACGAACGAAACCAAAATGGAGAGAAAGGGAGCAAGCTCAAAGTTACAAAGAAACAACATACTCCACCACAGTACCTGGAGTCCCCGAGGCACATGAGCTGTGACCTGCATGTCCGCTGCGAGGAAGAGCCCCAGCATGGTCACATACCCCACCATGGCTGTGCCGCGTGCCAGAGGCATGAAGTTATACCTGCGAAGAGACGTAAAGGACAGCGACAGAGAGACGTACATGTGGACAGCGAAAAGCGAAGACCGCGGGTCGGAAGAGCGAAGTAAAGTGGACCTCGCATACCAAGGGATGTGAGGGAGATCGCTATCACCCACATCCTCCCTCTTCTTCAGTCCACCCTCTCTTCCCCCCCCCTCCCCCCGCCCTCCCCAACTGACCCCACCAGCCCATTCCATGCCTAGCCTTCCCCTTCCCCCCAACCCATCTAAATCCACACCCCACACCCCCCCCACTTCCGTTTCGCTCTCCGCGCACCAGTAGAAGGCGAGGGAGAAGATGGCACGGTGAATGCGGTGGCGGTACTCTGCAAGGTTGCTGTCCCTCAGAGCAAAGTCCAGGTACGCTGTACAGAGCGCCTAGTGAGAGGTGACGTAGGTGGGGGGGGAGCAGGGGATGGTTTGAGACGTCTCAAAAGTGTGACTCGGACTGAGGTGTAAGTATGCTGCACAATGAGCCTGGTGGAACAGAGGGGAGGGGAGCGGGGGGGTTGAAGAAACAGAACTTTGGGTGAAGGATCGGCAAAATAGCCTCGTTCAAATACAACGCACAGGATGTGAGGGGAGGGGGGGTTGGGGGGGCGGGAAGCTAGAGAACGAGGGCATTCACTGGCAAGAAGGGCAGCAGCGACGAGAAACATGGTACCCACTGGCAAGCTGAAGAAGATAAAACTACTGTGGTGGGTACTCAGTACGTACTAAGAAGGACGGAGGGAGAGAAAAGGGAGAGAAAGAGGGGGAGAAGGTGCAGGGAGGAAAGCAGGAATACCTGATGAGGGGTTGCAGCACTCACCTTCCAGGCAGTTTCCATCTCGTGGTCGTATTCCTTCCACCGGGGAGGCGTGCCAGGTGTCTTGATGGCAAAGTCAAAATACGTGGGGCTGAGGACGGGGATGGGGGGATGAGGGGATGAGGTGAAGGTGGGGGGAGGAGAGGAGCCGAGGGTGACGAGGTGAAAAGGTGGGGAAGAGAGGGACGAAAAGGACAGAAAGGCTAGTCAATTACGTTTTCTCCGGCAAAACCGGCACGTGAATGCAGGAGGGGCGCTGGATTTCACATTACAATATTCAACAGCAAATGATTTAGGGGTAGAGGAAATGGGGAGCATGGCAGGATGGGGAGGGGCGGGCACTCACGTGCGAACCATGGTGAGGCGAGTGCCGTTCATCACAAAGCTGAGGGGAGCACGCAGGGGAGAATGCAGGGGAGCATGCAGGGGAGCATGCAGGGGAAAAGAGGCAGGGGGGCAAGAGAGGCTGGTTAAGGGTAATAGAAAAAGGATAGTGTGAGGTGGCACAGTGCAGGGCGGTACGGTCCAAGGTGGTAGTGATCCAAGGATAGAGGGAGTGTGAGGAGAAATGAAGGGAAGAGGAGCAAAGGGATGGCAGGCGAGAGAGGAGAGGGCGGTGTGTGTGTTAGTACCCGGGAGTGGCGGTGCTGTAGCAGGGAGTGACCACCCAGTAGTCCTCCCCTATCACTTTCCACAGCTCCTCTGCTGTTGTCGCTGCATCTATCTGCCCATGGCGGGACGAGGGGATGGCAAGTGGAGGTGATTTTAGGGATAAAAGTGTTGGGCATGTGGAGGGGAGTCAGGTGCTGCGACAAGTCTACCTGCCACCCATGGGCACTGACGCCATGGACGACGATGCCATGCCAAGCCATGCCATTCCACGCCTGTATGTGCCACCAATCATACATAACTACCACCCATGTCGTGCACCATATGCGCCATGGTAGAGGGCATACCAGCATCTCTCGTACCTGTTCACACACACCTACCACCCACTGCCTTCACCACCCATCACGTTGCCCACTGGCTTCCCTGCCTGAAAGCATAACAACCCCCAAACTTCCAAACCTCCAGCCCGATCTGAAAAGAAAGGCCAGTGCCGCTTTCCCCCTTTGTCTTCCCACCTGTGCCCTCATCTCCGGTGTGATTGTGACCGGCACATTGTAGCCGTTCCACACCCCATCCTGCACCATGCGCCCCTTCATGATGTCCAGCGCGCTGCCCCACCCCAACAGCACATGGGAGTGCAGGTAGGCAGGGGAAACATGGAGGCGGAGAGAGGATGTGATGGACAAGCAGTGAGGCACGCTGCGCTTCACCACCCCATCCTGCACCATGCGCCCCTTCATAATCTGCAGCGCCCTGCCTCACTCGTGCTACACATGGGGTTGGGGTAGACATGATCAAAACGCGATTGCAATTTAAATCGCATCGCATGCAGGTGCGATGTTTAAAAAAGCGATGCGATTTTAAATCGCATCGCGCGATTTATTTTCCAAAAAAAAAAATCGCACATCGCATTTTACCCGCGATGTATTAAAAAATCGCATGCGATATTTAATTAAATCGCGCAATGCGATTTAAATCGCATCGCGTTTTAAAACATAATTAAAAAACACCCCAAAAAAACAGGAAAAAAACATGGCTGCGGGGAAATTGACTCACGGGCAGTCGTAAGCTAGAGTGCAAATAACCAGTGTGGTTTCGTAGTGGGCTTCAGAGTGAGTTTCAGTGCAATATCGCGCGCGATTTTTAAAAAATCGCATATCGCATTTAAATCGCGTTTTTTAGCGCGATTAAAATGCGGTTTATATTAAATCGCGCGATATTAATTCATCGCATCGCGCGATGATTAAAAAAAAAAAAAAAAAAAAAAAAAAAAAAAACATCGCCATCGCAAGAACGCGATTGAATGCGATGCGATGCGATTTTTTTGGCCCATGTCTAGTTGGGGGTAGGGAAACACGGAGGCAGAGAGCTAAAGAGAGCGCACGTTAGAGAGGTATTTAAGTCACGTTGCACACACCGTACTGCACGACACGACACCACATCACAGCACAGCACACATGCACCATGCGCCCTTTCACGAAGTCTAGAGTGCCGAATCACATGCGTGAGGGGCGAAAATGGTGAGAGGGCATGTGTGGGGGGATAGGGCAGACTCGGAGACAGAGAAGGTGTGATGGAAAAGCATGTGACACACGCTGCGCGCAACACACCACATCACATCATGCATGTGATAACAATCGTCTTGTGAGACGTCCCAAAACCCGACTATTTCACACATCGCACACACTACTTGACATCATGTACCATGCACGCTTCGTTCACAAAGCAGGTCGTTCAGTTGAGAGTCACTTATGTGTCACCTGGGAGGAACCAAGGACGATGCATGTGCCATGTGGTGATACGGAAAACAGCGAGATAGTGAGGGAAGGTCACGGCAGTGTTACGAGAAGGAGGAGGGAGGGAGGCTGAACAAGAGGGAGGCTGCACAATAGGGAGGCTGTACAATAGGGAGGCTGTACAACAGGGAGGCTGTACAATAGGGAGGCTGTACAATCGGGAGGCTGAACACACAGGTTTGCTGCCAGGAGAATAAGAAAAGGTAGCAGCCAACTAGGCATTGATGCCAACACATGTTGTGTGGCATCATCATAAGATGTCTCTGAATGCGATCACATAAGTGCCAACACATGGGGCTGTGGGACAGAGCAACGACATGTGACATGGGGCACGCACCGGTCATAGACAAAGTAGTAGCGGCTGTTCTTCATCTGCCCCACCAGCATGGCTGTCACCGACCCAAAGCCCTCCTCAAACTCCTTGGCACTGGGGGGGAAGGAGGGAAGGCGGGCGCGGAAACGCACCTAAGTTTTGATGCGAGTTTTGAGGCACCTCAAACATTGTAGTGGCTGTTCTTCACTTGGGTGCCAACCAGCATGGCAGTCATTGAACCAAAGCCCTCCCAACACTCATCCCACCGTCCCTTACGATCAAATCCCTAAGACCCATTCCTCATGGCCCAAACCCCCCTTTCCCCTCCCCTCTCCCACCCTCTCTCCCCCTCCCCCATGCCCTACAACGCACGTGAGCTTGTCGATCCACACCACAGGGTCCACTGGCTCCCCCAGCTGTCGCCACTTCACCACGCGGTCGTAGATCTCCCGCCACCCGCCTATCACCTCCTCCTTCCCTCCCCCTTTCCTTGGCTCCGTCTCACGCTCCTGCCTCCTCCCACGCCCCCGGGATTGCTTCTCCTCCTCCTCCTCCTGCTGCTTGCTATGCCGTTCTTGGTCATTCCCTTCCGCCTGCCTTCCCCCCTCTTGCTCCGCCTGCTCCTGTTGCTGCAGCTGTTGTTGCCGTTGCTGTTTTCTTCGCCCACGTCTGCTGCCACTGCCGCTACCACCGCCAGCACCAGCAGCACCACCCGCGCCAGCACCACCTGCCGCCTCTCGCGCCCTCTCGTCCGCCATGCGCTGCCATGTGCGGCGCACCATGTCCCGAATGTCCATCATAGCCAGCCCCGCCATGCGGTACTGACGAGCCGTGCATAGGGGTGAGGAAGGGATGCAACAGGGGGGGTGGGGGTTGTGGGAGGGTGGTTGGGAGGACAAGGGGACGAGGGTGTTGTAATATATTATTATATACAACATGCATGACTAGAATAGGAGGTGTAGACATTTAATTTATTGGGGGGTTGTTGGTTGGGTTCACCAACCACAATTTGGTTGGTCAAGAAGATTGGATTTGGCCTTGGTCCTTTGGTTGGCACTTTCAAACCGAATGGTCCCAAGGCTCCACCAATCAGCAACCACCACACTTTGGGGTTGCTTCCCCTCCAAGCTACCTCTCCCATTGGCCACTATTGTAGCCAATAGGAATGCCTTCCCTTCCAACCTTTTCTTGCTCCTTGGTTGTACTGTACAGCCTCTTGGCTCCCTTTCTAGTTCATTATTTTCTCTCCAAAGTTGAGTTTTTTCAGTGGGGACGGGAAAGGAGCGCCGTGCGATACAGGGGTGTGAGACCGAAGAGACAGGAGGGGTTGGGTTCACAAGTACGGGGGAGGAATAGAGGAGGCAGGAGGAGAGGGTGGAGAGGAGGATGTGGCAGGCAAAGGAGGGCAAAGCAAAACGAACGCCATCTTGTGTAGACATGGGTATATCGCATCGCATCGCGTTTTATCGCATTTTGCGATTGCGATTTTTTTTTAATAAAAAATTGCAGCAATGCGATGCGATAGTATCGCGCGATTTTGTGATATCCCGCATTTATCGTGGATTTTTCAGCACGATAAAACGCGATATGCGATATTAAAATACCGCGCGCTATACATCCGCATATCGCGCTGCGGAAGTGCGCCAGAAAGGGGGGGGAAACATGGGCGCGGGCCCTGAACTTAGCAAAAAATAGGGTTCTCTCGTTGTAATGGCGTGAGGAAATTGCGCGCGGCTGTTTGGGGTTGGCGTAATTGACGGGGAGGTGTTTGTGAGGAGCTTGGAGAGGAAGGGTTGGAAATTCTAGTTGAAAAGGGGTGCAGTGCGGTTGAGGGAGGGGAGTTTTGGTTGGAGATTCAAATTTTGAAATGGGCGATGGTGGATGGAATGTGGTGGTGTGCGGTTAAAGGGATTTAGAGGGATGATTGAAATCTCGACCCCCACAAATTCATTTGGTTGAAAATCCAACCAATTTCCACCACGTCAACCGCACTAAATTCCTCCGCATTTACAGAATTCAACCCCTCTAACACGCTCTACATCGGAGAGGGGCCACAATATCTCATTCTTCCTCAACCTTCACTCACCTAATTCCTCGCGCACCTAGGAAAGCCAGCCTTGTCGTTCTGATTTTCTCCTCCGACCCCAAAACGCGATGCGATATTAAATCGCATCGCGCGATATATCGCATTTAAGGGTGCGATATTTTCTTACATCGCACCGTAAATCGCGATATGCGATTTCAAATTTTCGCATCACTGCGATATCACGCGCGATATGACAAAATGCGATGCGATATCGCGCGTGATATCGCAGCGATGCGAAATTTTGTGCCCAACGTCTCAAGAACCCATGTCAGCTCAGCTTACTTGCGCGTTTCCAAGCCTTCCTCTCCCCCACTCCGCCCCTCTCCCCATTATTTGTTGGACGCAACGAAATAAAGAATGGAAGAACAAGAGAACGGACACCTTGCCCTCACCGACTCATGAAGAGGAGAACGAGGTGGTCACTCACCCTGGCTAGCTGGCACCTGCCTCACCTGCCGCTTGTTTGCCCCTCACCTGCCGCTTGTTTGCCCCTCACCTGCCGCTTGTTTGCCCCTCACCAGCCGCTTGTTTGCCCCTCACCTGCTGCTTGTTTTTTGCCCCTCACTTGCCACTTGTTTGCCCCTCACCTGATGCTTGTTTGCCCCTCACCTGACGCTTGTTTGCCTCTCACCTGGCGCTTGTTTGGCAAGAAGCCCTGCCAGTCATATTTCACCAGCGAGCCGAGCTTCTCCGCTGCGAGCAGCAGCGAGCGCATGGGATTCGAGAATGTTACGCGGTAACCACCGTTCTCGGAGGGCGGCAGGCGCGCCACCTGCAGCAGCGGCTGCATCTCGTATCCGGGGAACAGCACCATCGGCGGCATGCGCTTGCTCCACCCCTCCTGTTGCAGGGAGGGTGTGTGTGGGTGGGAGTGACGAAAAAAGGGGGGACAAGAGAGGATGGGGCGAATTGAGGGTGACGGCGGCTATTGGCAGTGTTGGGTGTGATAGTGAGTGGAAATTCGTCGTTCAAACAAACAAGGCACCAGAACGCAACACAAAGCGCGGGATGGCATGCGAAGGCCAGGGAAGGGCACGACACGACACGAGGCAGTAGGGCACAAAATAGGCAAGGCAGAAAGGCAAGGCAGTGTGGCAAGGGAGAGTGAGTGACCTTGAAGTGGGGACTGAGCTCGTCGTCTATCTTGAGGGCTGACAATGGCCGATGCCTGCGCATGGCCACGTAGCACGTCAGCTCCCTCTGACTCGCAGTCATTGTGGGGGGGAGGAGACAGGGGCGGAAATGGAGGGAGACATGAATCAAGCGGGGGGTTGGATAGGGGGGGCAAACGGGATGTGAAATGGAGGGAGAAGAAGGCCAGGTTGAGGTTGGATAGCAGAGGCTAGAGAAGAGAAGACGCAGAGAGAACATGGAGAGGCATGGTGGTGTGTCTGGCAGGGCATTTCTGCTGGCACTGCACACACTAGCATATGGCACATTAGAGTTTGGGATGACGCCTGGTGTGGGATAGAGATGTACCTCGAAAAGATACGACATGCATGGGATAAGGAAAGAGAAACTTACTCAGTAGACACGTGAAAGGGGAAACGTAAGGCGTGAAACATGAAGCGCGACAAGTGAAACGTGAAAGGTGAGCGGTGAAGGATGAGGCCTGGCAGGCTGGGGTGCTGTGAGGCGTCTCAATCAAGATTCAAGACTCACCTGGTAGAAGGACTGGAACTGCTTGGTCCTGTCCTCGTCCGGGGGGAAGTTCAGCCCAAGTATCCTGTCGTACAGTTGCACCTGCCGGGGGGGGGGGGGGGAGCGGAGAGATGGAGGGGAGAGGGGACATCTGACTTGACTCACAACTTAAGGCCAAGCATGCCGCCGTACAAATGCACCTGGGAGGATGCGGAGAGGAAGGATGAGGGGAGCGGAGGAGGGGAGGATGATAGTGGTGTGACCTTTGGAACGACCCAAGAGTCTTCCAATCACCCACCACATTGACCAGCATTGATTTACAGCATTGCCTTGGATTGATTTGCGCATTGCCTTACAGCATTGACTCACAGCATTGATTTGCGCTGACTCACAGCATTGATTTGCGCTGACTCGCAGCATTGATTTGCGCTGACTCGCAGCATTGATCTGCGCTGACTCGCAGCATTGATCTGCGCTGACTCGCAGCATTGATCTGCGCTGACTCGCAGCATTGATCTGCGCTGACTCGCAGCATTGATCTGCGCTGACTCGCAGCATTGATCTGCGCTGACTCGCAGCATTGATCTGCGCTGACTCGCAGCATTGATCTGCGCTGACTCGCAGCATTGATCTGCGCTGACTCGCAGCATTGATCTGCGCTGACTCGTGCCCATCAAAGGCACCGACGTACCGCTTCAGAGAAGAGTCCAAGGGCGTGCACGGAGGAGGCCTCGATGTACCGCATGTCCAGGTCGTCCGGCACCAGCTGCAGGCCCTGCCGCGCCACTGCCAACGCAGTCCTGAAGGGGCGTGGGGTGTGGGGGCAGGGCCGAGGGGGGAGGGCGGGAGGGTTGGAGCATGCACGGAGGTTTAGGTGTCAATGTACAGCAGGTCCTGGTCGTTGCACACCAGCTGCAGGCCCTGCCGCGCTGCTGCCAGAGCGGTCCTGAGAGGTGTGGAGGTACGTTGGAAAAACCGCGGTTTGCCACACCTCTCCAGCCACACCGCCACCAACCTGCGGACCCCCCCATGGCATGCATAAACGCGGTATGCCTGCGGTTGCTGTTGCCGCATGTCTGCCTTGGCTCGGAGGAGCCCCTAAGAAGCACGTGCACACAAGGTTCTACACACGTCTATCCGTACCTGTGGTCCCCCAGTGCATGCTTGAACGCGCTGTACACGCGGTACGCCTGCGGGTGACGGGGGTCGATCCTGAACGCCTTGAGGTAGCTCTTCTCGGCGTCGCCCACGTGCCCCAGCTCGCGCTGCGACTGCGCGAGCTGCAGCCACACCTCCTTGTTGTTTCTGTCCCCCTCAAGTGCTTCTTGGAACGCCCCCACTGCCAAGTCGCAGTCGCCACCGGAGAGGTACGCCTGGCCCTGGTGCGGGGCGGAGGTGGGGGAAGACAGACAGGGCGATGGGGGAGACAGACATGTGGTGGGGGAAACGGGGGGAGGGAAGGGGGAGGGTGGGGGTGAGGGAGAAGGGGAGGAGCGGGTGGCCACTGCAAGTGGTTTCGCTTGGGCGTTCGGCAGGCAGAAAACCAAGCTGCACTGCACCACACCGCACTGTGCCGCACACCACGCGGCACTGCAGGTCCTGCAGTGGCGTCTCCCTTCATACTGCACGTGCGCGAGTGCGTGCGTGCGTGCAGTCACGAGAGGGCCTTCTTACACAGTTCCACTGGCTTCAGTGCCCTCATCGATCCACATGCACTCTGCCACGCCACCACCCACCACCATGGCACGCCCCCACCACCCCATGCTTCCTACCAGGTGGATGCGTGCGAAGGCGTTGGAGGGGTCTTCCTGGAGCACGTACTTGATGTCCCTCACCGCATCCCAGCTCGCCTTCGCCCTCATGTGCGCCATCGCTGGAGGGGGGGCCCGTCACATGCCGTGCCATGACATGACATGCCATGCCATGCAATGGCAATGGCACCACATCATGCGGTGCACCCGTTGCAATGAATGGTGTGAAGAATGCATGGAAGGGTGGCGCGGTGGGGTAGTGGATGTTATGACACATGCAAGATGCCGTAAGCCATGTCACAGCCTATACAACCGTGACACACGGATTCCCCCACACCACAGATTCATAGAGCACTACCCGCTCTCCCAACCCCAAACTTGGGTACTTGCTCTAGTGTGCGCACCCAAGGTGCAAAAAAATGGCGCTATTTACTTTTTTTTACCGTATAAAACGGGATTGTATAAAACGGCCGTTTAATACGATTAAAACGGTCAAAAGTGGTGTTTTCTGACTGGTGTAATATGGTCGTTTTTTTCATACCGCCGTAAAAAACGGAAGTTCGCTTTATATCGAGGAGGGTGAGGAAGAGGGCGACTAGAGCGAGGAAGGGGAGAACTAGGGCGGGGAGGAGGAGGACAATTAGGAGGAGGAGCAGAGCCGGAGTAGAGTCGGAGGACTAGGAGAAGGACAACTAGGAGGGTGAAGGAAGGGCGAGAAGGACAATGAAAGCAGGTCTAGGAGGACGAGGATGGTGTTTTAGATGCACGTAGGCTGTCGCCGCTCTGTTTCCCAGCGGTTTTTTAAAGCTAAGGGTGAAAAAAAAAAATGATGATGATGATGATGATGATAATAATAATAATAATAACAATAATAATAATAGTAATAATAGTAATAATAATAATAATAATAATAGTAATAATAGTAATAATAATAATAATAAGCGGGAAAAGAAACTCAAACAAAAAATCGGTCGAATTTGCATAAATCTGCTGTATAAAACGACCGTAAAAAACGGACCGTTTAAAACGGAAACCGTTTTTTTGCACCTTGTGCGCACCTCTCTCGTTGTATGCCTGCAGGTTGTCGGGCTCCAGCTCCACCACATGGTTCAGGTCCTCCACCGCCTGCCGGGGGTAATCGGGTGGAAGGGTCGTGGGGTGAGGGAGTGAGAGGGTGGTGGGGTGGTATGGAAAGTTTGAGTCGAGTCAACAGTCAGCTCCACCACATGGTGGGGGGGGGGGGGAGCATGCGATGGTGGTGCGATGAACAGGAAAGACATGGGTGCATGCTTACACTTGTCTCGTTTCACACTCCCACCCACACCTCTAAGCTCCCATGCGTGCATGCTAATATCCGCCCCATCTGTCCCATGCTTCCGCGATTGGGAGTCAAATGAACGCATCTCTCTGCTCTGGCACGGAATCAATGCCCTCACCTCACCTCTCATGTTCTGAGGCGCATCAGGCAGAAGCTCCCCTCCCTGCCCTGCCATGTGCTCACCCCATGCCTCCCCTTCTCCCCTTGCACCACCCCTCCTCACCGCTTGCATCACCTCTCACCCTTTGCGCCACCCCTCACCCCTTGTGCCACCTCTCACTCCCCCCATCACTCACCCCTCACCCCATGCCTGCCTCACCCCATGTGCCAGCCACCCCTCACCGCTTCGGCCTGCCCGTCTGCCATGCGCGCCTGCGCTCGCCGCCTCCACGCCTCTGTCATGCGCGGCTCTTCCTCGATCGCCTGATGGGGCACAGATGCCAGGTCACAGCACAGCACGGCACAGCATGGCACGGCACGGCACAGCACAGCACAGCACATCACATGAGCATTGAGAACACCATGAGAAAGTGGTGCTGCAAGCAAAGGGAAAGGACCAGAATCATTCTTTAAGCGTGCACACACCGGCTGTGCTTTGGCCGTTTCTCCTCACGCTTGGTAGCGTTAGGAGAACAACAGGACCTTATCAGGGCGCTTCCAAGGTGGAATTCTTGAAAAACGTACCGTACTGGAAATAGCTGCAATGCTCAGAACCCTGAGAGAGTTACGGCGAAACGAGCTGCATGGAAAACCAAAAACGAGAAGTTTGGCACTTTGAAGCGCCCTCAGGGAGTGAGCATGTGCTATGTTACACATGGCCACTGGGCAGGTTTGTGACGTCATCAGATTCGGCACGACACGTGATAGAACGAGTGGGGGTAAGAGCGGCGCGGCGGGCGTTGTAAAGCTCAGGATTCCACAGAGTGCTCCTCTTTCCAGCTCCACACAAGCGCCCTCGCTGTACTTCACGCCACCTGCACCTCTCTACCCCTCTGCTGCACACAACCGTGTCAACCCCATTGCGCATGCATCCCTCGGGTCGGTGCAAGGACCGACCTTGGAGTAGTCCTCTATGGCCGTCTTGAGCTTGCCCCACAGCGCGTACGCCGTGCCCCTCCCGACCAGAGCAGCCGGCACCATTGCTCCCTGCTTAATCATCTGTTGGGGAGCGGGTGTGGGGAGAGGAGGGGGGAGGGGGGGGAGATGGGGGGACAAAGACAATGACAGGAGCGCATGGGGTTGGGAACCAAGGCAGGAGCCAGTAACAATGACCATCGAAAGGAGTTGGCAATGAAAAGGCAGGAGGGGAGGTGGGGAGGTGGACAAGCGGGACGGAGGAAGGAAATAGACAGGAGATGAGGCTGGTGTGCCCATTTGGCCAGTACTGGGGAAGGGGGTGCTTCATTTTGCGTGCTTGGAAATCGCTCTCAGCTCAAGCTACATGTGTGGAGGCTTCGAGGTGGAGAAGTTGGAGTCGGCCTTTGCGAGCACTCAAAGACAGGGTTGTGAGGCATCGTGGCCGCAGGCAAGGGCAGGAAAGGGCAGGCAAGGGCAGGCAAGGGCAGGCAAGGCCCGGGCAGGCAGTGAGGGGCAGTGAAGGGCAGTGAAGGAGACTCAAGGGCACTCACCGTTCCAAACATGTCGACTGCTTGCTCAAAGTTGCCAGTATTGACCTGAGGAGACCCAATGGGGGGGGTGGGGTTGGGAGGGGGAGTGGGGGGAAAGAAAGTGAAGGCAAGATGAAGGGGGCACGAATGGATGGAGGATAGGAGGGGGAAAAGCAGGACGGGGGATGCAAAAGAGGAGGAGAAAGAGAGGGCATGAGAGGGCGAGAGAGAGCATGGCACACATTGCACATTGCACAGTGAACGTTGCACAGTGCATAGCACACACTGCACACAGTCCACGGCACGTGCGGCCAATCTCACGGCATTTCAACGAGCCGGGTTCTGATTCCCCATGCCTCCTGTCTCACGCACCTGCTGCACAGCCAGCGCCAGCAGCATCTGCGCATTCCCGGACACAGGATCCGACCTCCCCCTCTCCTTCACCCCTTCCCCCCGGTTCCCCCTCCCCCTCCTCTCCTCCTCCTCCTTATCATCCTCCTCCTCCTCATCCCTCTGCCTCTTCTTACCCTCCCTCCAGCGCTTCTCCTTCTCCTTACCCCTCCCCATAGCGGATTCATCACCACTGGTTGTCTGTGCGCTCCGCCCCTTGCTCGCTTCGCCTCTCTTGGCCCCAGCCACACTCCCCTCGCCCTTCAATTCGCCACTTCCTCTTGCCGCGCCCTTCCCACCTCCGCCTTCCCTCCCCGCCCTCTCTGCTCCCCTTCTTGCTCCCTCACTCGCCCTCCTCCCCGCCTCCCTCCGATCTGCTATGGGTACCTCCTCCTCCCGTGCCTCTGCCTTATCTCCCTCCATACCCCTTTTCCTACTCCTGCGCCCCCTTCTGCTCCCCCCTCTAGAGCCCCCAGTGCTTCTGCCGGCAGCAGCAGCAGCAGACGCAGCAGCAGAAGAGCTGGCGTCAGCAGAAGCAGCAGCACCCCCTGAGTGCCTCTGCTTGCTGTGTGCCTTTTCTGCTGCTGGCGAGCCCAGCTGCAGACAGATGCTGGCGTCCAGCAGGGACGGGGGGAGGGGACGAGGCGAGCACGGCAGGAGAGGCAGGGGCGGGGAGGAGGAGGAGGAGGAGGAGGAAGGAGGGAAGACACCAGTGCACGGGATGCTGCTGCTGCTGCTGCTGCTGCTTCTTGAGCTGGCAGGAGGCGGTTTAGAGGGGAGTGGCTGCTGCAGCACTTGGAAAGGGGCGTCTGTATCGGCAAAGATGGAAAGCAACATCAGAATTCAGTAAACAGGAACCGGGCCGAGCTAGAGCAGGCGATTGGGGGGCGTAAGAAGAAACAATATCTTTCCTCGATCTGTGAGCAAGACATTGGCGTCTACAGAGGGAGTGAGGCACAAAACCCTGTCACTGGACCGTCTCTCTTCCTCTTTTCTTCCCTCCCCTCCCCTCCCCTCCCCTCCCCTAACCCTCCACCTCCTCCTCCCCCTCCCTCCCCCCTCCCTCCCCCTCTCCCTCTCTCCCTCCCTCCCTCCCTCCCTCCCTCTCTCCCTCCCTCCCCTCCCCTCCCCCCAGTGACCCGGTTCGTCTCTGCGACGACCTCACCACAATCGTCTTTCTCTCTCTCCCCTCCCGTCTCTGCGTGCCACCATTGCCCCAACCATCTGCGCAACAGGTAGTTGCACACTTGTCTAGTCTAAACCCACACCCCTCTCGCCCACTGCCATGCCTCGAGCACCTATCGCTCCAGTCATAGGTTCCCGTGCCATGCCATGCCATGCCATGCCATGCCATGCCGTGCCATGCCATGCCATGCCATACCATGCAATGCTGTGCCGTGCCGTGTCGTGCCATGCCATGCCGTGCCATGCCATGCCATGCCATGCCGTCCCATGCCGTGCCATGCCATGCCGTCCCATGCCATGCCATGCCGTGCCATGCCATGCCATGCCATGCCATCCCATGCCGTGCCATGCCATGCCATACCATGCCATGCCATGCCATGCCATGCCATGCCATGCCGTCCCATGCCGTGCCATGCCATGCCATACCATGCCGTGCCGTGCCATGCCATGCCATGCCATGCCATGCCGTGCCATGCCATGCCGTCCCATGCCATGCCGTGCCATGCCATGCCGTGCCATGCCATGCCATGCCCCGTGCCATGTCGTGCCGTGATATGCCGTGCCATGCCAGCCCATAGCTTGCCCACTCATCCTCACCTGTCTTCTGCAGCAGCAGCTTGGGGCACACGCTGTACCCACGGCTGCTGCTGCTGGCGGCAGCACGGGAAGCGGCGGGTGGGAGGAAGGGCGAGAGGGCAGCACTGGCGATGAGCTGTGGCTGAAAGCACGCGCCCTTGCCGCTCGTGCTGCGGTGGGGTGGGAGGGCAGGGCGAGGGGAGAGGGCGGACGGCGGATCGGGGTGTTTGGCTGGAATTGAGAGGAAGGAAGGGAGGAAGAGGGGGGTAAGACGGAGGGAGGAGGGGAGTCTGCGGCTGTACGCCCCATGTACACGTAGTAAACCCTGCTTTAAACCTCACCATACCCGCATTACACGTCAACTTATCCGCATTACACGTCACCATACCCGCATTACATGGCACCATGCCCGCACCACAGCTCACCACATCCGCGCATCTTCCCCCCGCCATGCGCGCAGCCCCTCAGTCGTCGCCAGCAGCGCCGCTACAGCCTCCGCCTTCTCCGCCTTGCTGCACGCGCGCGGCCCCGCGGGGGCGGAGCGGAGTGCGCCCCCCGCCGGAAATGCGCCACCCCCCGGGAATGCGCCACCCGGAAAACCAAGGCCAAACCCGGGGAGCGTAGCGGGGATGGCGCGGCCGGGCGGAGGGGTCACGTGGCAGGCGGAGAGATTAAGAGCGAGGCAGAAGAGATTAAGCGCGAGGGGTGACGCCATCATTGGTTGTCGATGGAGCTATGGGCGATTGATGGGAATAGAGACGACACTATGGGAACGGCGGATAGTACTATTTACTTTCGCAGCCTCACGCCGGAGACCTGGAGCAGCGGGAACGGCGGCGGGCGGCGGATACTACTAATGGAACTGTCGCAGCCGCGGGACGGGGAATATTAATCCAGGCGATGTTGTCGAGGATGACGACGAAACGCAGCGTGTGACAGTGGCGGTAACGTTACAGGACGGATCACGCCGCCGCGCCACGCGGCGACTCCATCGGCACCGCGACGGACAAGCGAAAGCGAGCGACGGCCGCCGCTTACGTGAGAACTTTACGAGGCGCAATAGCTTGCTGCCTTGGTACTACAACTGCATTACTGCGTGACTTCCGTGGTTGGAGTGGTCATTAGTCTGCCCCCGACTCCTCTACACAGACCAGTGAAGTTGAAGTGACCACCTGGTATGGCTGAGTGCGTTGTGGCTGTCGTGCTGGTGGCTGCCTCGGCTGATTGGGTAGCTTGGCTGGCTTGGCTTGGTTTGGTTGGTCTTGTCACAAGACTCGAGTGTTGCTGTTGCGGTGGTGGTGGGACGCTGGTCTTGTGGAATGAGCCGGTTATAAGCGTCTTCGGATCTCGGTAATACGCTGGTCTTCTATGTCCAACTGCAGACACCTTATAGGCATTTCTTACAAATGGAGTTGAAACGGCCAAGAAAAGCAACCCTATTGTGCCGTCTGCCCAGGATTATACTACCCACATGTAAAAACATGCGTTCTTATGGGATGGTCACGTTATGTCATAATTGTGAACTTTGGTGCAGGGTCTCAGATATCAGACGAAATCGGTCAGATGGTCTGATAATCAGACCTGTTTTTTCTCATTCATCTGAATTTTTGACGGGCTAAATTAATTCGTCTGATCGTCCAGATAAGCCATAACATTTCGTCTGAAAGTACAGACTAGGTGTAGACTTTCGTCTGAGAATTCAGATAGCGCGAATTTTTTCGTCTGATACATTCCTTGTCTCTCCAACACCCCCCCAACCGGCCAAGTCCCCGAGTGCCAGATACATTCCTCCCACACCCCTACACAACCTCCCTGTTTTGTTTCTGTAGGGCTGAGAAATGCCCTTAGGATCTTTCCAGAGACTAAGTCCCAGTTGTAAAAAGACTTGAGTAGTGCAGCGGAAGTTGAGGTAGTTGAACCCTTGTACTGGTATATGAGAACAAGTGATTGATTAAAAGAACAAGCATACAGCAATATATAGAAAGTAGGAAAGTAAAGCAGTTGTAGAATACAGTTGAAAGAGCGGTTATCGAGTCGCACAGCGACTCGATTGTCGCTTCGGTTACCATCTTTGCAGCTGTAACTGTCAGTCGCAACCTCCAGTTGCGACCCTTCGAGTTCTTTTGTGTTGTTTGTCCATCCCCTCGTGTAACCTCCGTTGACTCGCGTACCCGTTACGATCTTCCTCGAGTGTGGTGTTACACTTCAGAAACGCTTAAGTCCTTGAGGTATTTCCAACACTCCCCTTCGTTTCTGGAGTGTTCACGTGTTCAGATCCGGTGACGTTTGTCTGCCCAGTCAGCAGCATGCAGTAATCGAACTTTGCCTTCGCCAGTTTCTTCGTCAGGTAGTCTGCGGCCATTTCTGTCGTAGGGCAGTAACTGAGTTGAAGTCTCCCCTTCGCGATTTCATCCTTGACGAAGAAGTATCGCAGGGCGATGTGCTTGGTTCGGTTGGCGAAGCCGTCCTTGTTCGCGATTTTGATCGCAGATTGGTTGTCGCAGAGGAGTGAGAAGACGGGCAGGGTCGCAATCTTGGCTTCCTCGAGCAACTCTCGCAGCTAAAGTCCTTCCTTGGTCGTAGTGCAGAGGGCGAAATATTCTGCTTCAGCTGAAGATAGTGCGATTAGTTCCTGTTTGCTCGACTGCCAAGAGATAGTCCCGATAGGTTCCAGTCGGTAGATGTAGCCCGTTCTCGATCGTCGATTTTCCCTGTCTCCCGCGTGATCGGCGTCGACGTATCCGAGCAGTTGTACGGAAGATGTCGTTGCTTTACTGTAGGTAAGTCCGGTCGTCGGCGTAGAGACGAAGTAGAGTAGTGCCCGGTTTAGTTCTTCGAGATCTTCTTGTTCCGGCTGCTTCAGGTGCGTCGCCAGCTGGCTTGCGCTGTAGGATAGGTCAGGTCGGCAGGTTACTGCTGCGAATAGTAGGCAGCTGAGCTTCTGCTGATACTCCTGGATTTGCTTCGCGGGGACTTTTGTGGAGGTGTCGTTGTTGTTCCCGTAGCGGTAGGGAGTCGTGACTGTAGTTGGTGTTAGTCCGAACTTCTTTGCGATAACGACGTCGTACTTTCCAGCGTATAGGTAGAACGCCGAGTTGTCTTCGACGACATTCAGTCCCAGATACTGGGTCACTGTGTCGGACACCGTGAGTGTCAAGTCCCTTTTCAGCTCCCCTTCGAACCAGGTGGCGATGTCGGTAGTGGAACCGATATAGAGCAGGTCGTCGACGTATACGATGAGTAGAATATACTCTCTTCCCTTCTGCAGTCGGTACATGCCTTGGTCATGCGGCAGCTGTAGGAATCCGATTTTGACGAGGCGACCGTGAAGATGCTGCTGCCAGAGCCGCGGGGCTTGCTTGATCCCGTAAAGGGATTTTATCAGCTGGCATACTTTTGTGGGGTCGTCGATGAATCCGTGAGGCTGCTTGACGAAGATCTCGGCGTCCACAAGTGCGTACAGGAAAGCATTTGCGACGTCGATTTGGCGCAGTGGTAGTTTCTTCGTGGCCGCGACGGCGAGTAGGATGCGCAAGGAGGTGTGACGGGAGACTGGGGCGAATGTTTCTGTGTAGTCGGTTCCGTATCGTTGATCGAAGCCTCGTACGACCCATCGAGCTTTGAATCGTTCGATGGAGCCGTCCGCGTTGGTCTTGATACGGTACACCCATTTTCCCGAGAGAACGTTCTTCCCGTTGACGTTCGTTGCAGGTACCAGCTTCCATGTATTTCGGTCTTGCAAGGCTTTCAGTTCCTTTTCCATTGCCTCCTTCCATTTTGCCTTATGTTCCCCCCCCAGAGCTTGCGACAGAGTCGTTGGCTCTCGCGGAGATGGCGGCGGCGGGTGCTAGACGGAGACCCATAAGCCGAGGATTTGCAGTCCCATGGGTGTGTGTCGAGGGGAATTCTCATTCCCGGGATAGGCTGCTTCCTCACCATCTTCTGGATCAGGTAAGAAGTTGGGGCCGATGCGTTCTGAGATATTCGTGTCGACCGGGTGAGGTGTAGCGTAACCTTGGTCAGCGAAGTGGTAGATGGTGTCGAGGTTGTTGCTATCGAGAGGATTGTCTTCGTCGAGGGGAACATGTACGAAGCAATAAGGGAGTGGTCCGGCAGCTTCCGAAGCTCCAGGTACGTCTTCTTCGGCTGCGTCAACCTCGGCAGCACGGTCAGCGAAAGAGCGAAGGCCTGCGACACCGTCGGTGGGGTCGTGTGTGTTGGCGACGTTGTCCAGGTAATGCTGCAGCGTCACTCGTTCGTAGAATATCACATCACGTGATGCCACGGTATTTTTGTCTTGTATGTCGAGGATTTTCCATGCTTGAAAATGTTTTGCGATGCCGAGGTGTAGTCCCCATCGTGCTCGTTGAGTGAAGCGTCCTGCTCTGGCTGTGTGGGGTCTGTACTGTACCATGCAGCCGAAAACCCGAAGTAATTTTGTGCTGCCCCTTTTTCTTGTCCACAGCAGGTGCGGTGATGCGTTGTTGGGAAGCGAGGACGAGGATAGCAGGTTGTGCAGGTGGACTGCATGGGTCATCGCGTCTGGCCACAGTGCGTTGGGCAGTCTCATCCCCAGGAGCAGCTTTCACATCGTCGTCTGCAAGGTCCGGTTCATTCGTTCTGCGACCCCCTGTTGCTGGTGAGCGTAGGGCAGAGACACCAAGCGTCTGATTCCTCTTTCAGCCAAGTAGGTCCTGAAGCGTTGTGACTGGTATTCTAGTGCGCCGTCTGACTGGATGCTTTTGAGCTTCGTTCCTGATTCTCGTTCAGCGATGGGAAGCCACGTCTTGAAGGCTTCGAAGGCTTGGTCTCTCGTCTTGAGGTTGTAGTGCCAAACATATCTTGTTGCTGCATCGATGAACGTTATGACGTAGTTGAAGTCTGCTTCAGTGTCGTCGCGAGGCATGTTTAAGATGTCGCTGTAAACCTTTTCCATCGGTGCGTATGCGGGTGCGCTTGGATTGTGATGTGACGGAAAAGGTTGGTGTTGAAGATCTGCTTCGGGGCATGTGAAGCATCGTGCGCGAGGTTGTCGAAGTTCCTGTCCGCTTGTTGTAAGGAGAGCGTTTCGTTCTAACACTTCGGCTTGGATGGTTTGTAGTACCGTGCTATTTGCAGGATGCCGAAGGCGTTGATGCCAGATGTCGTCGGGAGCTCGATGGCCGGCCGATCGGTGATACATGTCGGTGTTGGAGAAGAACGCGACGACGGTGGCGGGACTTCGGCAGACTTCTCGTGTGATGGGCATAAGTTGATCTGCTTCGGTTGGCGGTCCTCGGATCGTTGGTGGCGGTACTCGGCTGGGTTCTGCTGCTGTGATTTCAGGTGATGTCGATGAAGAGATGCTTGCCGGTACTTGTCTTTCTTGTCGAATGACTGCTAACGCGCGTGTTCTCTCTGCTGCAGGTATGGTGTTTGAGTACCAGTATCCATCTTGGTCGGGGACGAAGTCCAACACGAAGACGCCGGACTTCAGGAGAGCACGACCGATGAAGAGGCCACCCTTCCCATGGTAGAGGCGAAACTCGTTGGAGTCCGAGTCGCATTCCAGGTGAATTCCTTTTGCCATTAACTGGCTGACGCTTAGTAAGTTGTATCCCAAGTTATTGACGATGAGGACTTTGTTGAGTTGCAGTATAACGTTTGTCTCCATGGATTGTAACTGAACCACTCCTTGTCTGTTTGTCTTCAGGTTCTTGTTGTTGGCGACGGTGATGATGACGTCTCGGTTGAGACGTCGTTCTCGTTGCACAAAACGCCCGGAAGAACACATGTGTTGGCCGCAACAGCTGTCCAAGAACCAAGTGTTGCGTCCGGTGGGTTCAGAGTTGGCGACTGCAGCGTACGTTGGGTTGACCCGGAGTCCCTGTGAGCGCGGCGGCGACAGTTGTTCTTCATCGGGAGCGTAAGTTGGCGGTGATCCGGGTGCGCAGTTGTCGATGTGTACCATGCAGTTGATGATATTCGGTGTATTTTGTGCAGATGTGGAAGGGTGCCTCGGCGGACTTACGTGAGTGGAAGAGACTTGTGGGTCTACTGGACGATAAGCTCGGGGACGTGTGCAGTTGACTTTGGAGTGTCCGGATGTTTGGCAGTTGTGGCAGAACGGCGGTACAATGGTGAGTCCTCTGTTGTCGCGTTGATCTTGCCTGCCGCGTCGGTTGTAGTTGTTGTCGTGTCTTCGTTGAGTGTAGAAGACTAATGGTTGTTGTTTCCTTG